CCTGCTTTACTTCTTATGAGTTATGAAAACAGCAAAGTGTTAAAAGAGCTATTAAACCTTCCCTGATCTCTGAAGGTTTGGGATTCTTCCATTTACAGGGTTTCACTTTGAGGGCACCTCTCCCTAATATAATAAAAATGAAGAGTAGCCATCATTGTGTTCTATCTTCCTCTGTAAAGATTCTTTATAAAAAATTGTGCCGATTAGCCCAGGGAACTAGTTGCACAGTATTCTGTCATGACCTCTGAAATATACTTTAATAAGTTGAGAATTAATGAGTGCAATATATTCCTGCAGTTTCATTTTGGCGCCAGATAAATTAAGGCAAAAATCCTCTAAGGCCTTATCCAGTTTTCACTCAGCCTTGGGCCAGCTTTGACACAAGCCACTTGAAGATCACTGAGTAGTTTTGAAATTATTAGAAAAACTGATTAGCAGTACAATAGCTGAAAACCCAAAATCACACCACTGCATGAAAGTGAAATAAGAGAAGCCTTTCTACCAGTAAATAAGGCAATGAGCTACCATTTCAGGTATGTGAAGATATTCTAGCAAAAAACATGGAGGCAGATCTTTTTCTGCTTGTGATCTGAAAGCTTGTTTCTCCTTCGTGTCCTCTGTGAACACACACTAATGGGTTAATCTGCACCTGAGCAGGGCAGTATTCCAACATGATAACCCCAAACACACCTCCAAAACGACGACTGCCTTGCTAAGGAAGCTGAGGGTAAAGGTGATGGACTGGCCAAGTATGACTACCGACCTAAACCCTATTGAGCATCTGTGGGGCATCCTGAAACGGAAGGTGGAGGTGTGCAAGGTCTCTAACATCCACCAGCTCTGTGATGTCATCATGGAGGAATGGAAGAGGACTCCAGTGGCAACCTAGGAAGCTCTGGTGAACTCTGTGCCCAAGAGGGTTAAGGCAGTGCTGGAAAATAATGGTGGCCACACAAAATATTGATAGTTTGTGGCCAATTTGGACATTGTCACTTAGGGGTGTACTCACTTTTGTTGCCAGCGGTTTAGATATTAATGGTTGTTATTTTGAGGGGACCTCACATTTACACTGTTATACAAGCTGTATACTCACTGCTTTACATTGTAGCCAAGTGTCATTTCTTCAGTGTTGTCACATGAAAAGATACACTAAAATATTTATGAAATGTGAGAGGTGTATTCACTTCTGTGATATACTGTATGTATGCATGTGTGTATGCATGTGTGCATGTATGCATGCATGCTTACCCCGCCTTTCTCCTTAAAATGACTTAAGGTGGCTGACATCATTAAAAAGACAATATTTAAAGCTAAAAACATTAAGTATATAAATACTTAACGTTTTTAGCTTTAAATAAAAACACCCTGAAGGGATGTGGTGGCACTGTGGACTAAACCGCAGAAGCCTGTGCTGCAGGGTCAGAAGACCAGCAGTTGTAAGGTCGAATCCACGCGACAGAGTGAGCTCCCGTTGCTTTGTCCCAGCTTCTCGCCAACCTAGCAGTTCGAAAGCATGCAAATGAAAGTAGATAAATAGGTACCACCTCAGTGGGAAGGTAAAACGGCGTTCCGTGTCTAGTCACGCTGGCCATGTGACAACGGAAACTGTCTTCGGACAAGTTTTTAAAATTATATTGCTGTTTCTTTTTATTGTAAGCTGCCTAGAGTGGTCTAATATGACCAGATAGGTGGGATAGAAATAAAATAAATAAATTAAATAAATAAATAAGTGCTGGCTCTACGGATTGAAAAACGGGATGAGCACCGCTCCCTAGAGTTGGACATGACTGGACTAAAAATGTCAAGGGGAACCTTTACCTTTTATACAAATATTAAAAAAAGAATAAAGAAGTATTATATTAAATACAGTAAATAAATTCAATACTACAAACACATTTAACAACAACAGAGCACAACAATCCACTTTCTCACACCACTAGTCATTAAGGAAAAGCCTGCCTGAAGAGAAAGGCATTTTTCTGCTTGCGGAAGGACAGCAAAGATGGGGCCAGACTATCTTCCCATGGGTGGGAGTTCCCGAGTCTGGGAGCAGTGACAGGGAAGGTGTACCCACCAAGTGTACCTGTGAGGGTGGAGGGATCCAAGACAAAGGCCTCCCCTGATTATCTTAATGCTCAGGCATGCTCATAGAGGGAGATGTAGTCCTTTAGATAGCTTGGCCCCAAGCTGTGTATGGCTTTATAGGTTGGATGGACAAAAAAACTCTCTGGACTCCAAATACCTTGTGTTTCTGTCCCACAGCTTCAAAGTCTGATGTAATTTCTTCATAGTTCATCTTGGCTGTGTTATTCACATGGATGAGAAGAAAGAGATCTGCATTTGTGGGTTTTATGGCAATCCTTCTGTCACATCCCTAATGTGTCCTCCAGGAAGACAGCATAGCTGGGAGGGCTAATGGATCTTCGTGATTTATTTAAGGTTCAGTCCCACACAATAGGGATTCTACTACTACAACTCTTCTTTTTGTAGAGTGTTGGTTTACTAACTCTGCTGGCTGAGTTTCAGCCTCTCTTAATGAGCCCCCACTTGGATTCTTCACTGCATACCAGTTTGGTGGCTTGGTGCACAATGAGTAAACTGACTGGAGTCTCGTTAATTAGTGTCAATTTGCTGCTGCAGATTACACCATTTCCCTTTTGTTGGTGTAGCCATGCAATAGGATTTTGACAATTTGGTAAACTTATAGGCCTACCTTTGAGATATGTTGGGTTCCATCTCTACACTTTCACACTATTTGTGTTCCTGGGAAAAAGTAAATTATGATGTGGTGAAAAGGATGATTATCAGGGTAGTGAAAATAGATCTGTGACTGTAATGAAAAATGCCAATATTCTGATCTGGTGGTTCAGTAAGCCAGATCTACTGGTATCCTGTTTCATGTTGACATTCAGCTGTATTGCTTCACTTCTTTGCCCTGCTTTGCTCCTCACATGCCTTCCTGGATTTGAACACTGCCTCTCAGTAGTGTTGATAATCTACATTTGAACATGTTGACAGGTGGTAGAATTCTGAACTATATGGACTGAAGGAAACTATGGGTGAGAAAAAAGGTTGGCAACTTTGTTCTTTCATCCATAGCTGCCAGTATCCGCAACCAGTAGGACCATTCACTAGAGAGGCTGAGAGGTTTGAGAGTCTGAAATGGAAAACAGCTACTTTTCCAAGCTCTGTGTGTGAGAAAGAAGGGAAGAACAAAGGCAGCAAAGTCTCACAGTCCTTCCAGAGTTGCACCCATGCCTGCTGTTCGATAAACTCACAAGTGTATGTATTGTATGTTGAACGTTACTGCAAATAGCTGTTGAATTCTACAATACTCTGCATACTGTTCTCTGCTATCACACCTGGACTGATAACACATCCCCCACCTGGACATGCCTGGAAATGCTTAGCTCTGTGGCCTTCAGCATATTAACTTTCTGAGCACTGCAAAAAAGTCATACTCCAAAGGTAAACAAAGATTATCATTTTGGGGGAAACCTAGTGAACCTGTTTTGCTTTTTGTATATTTTTCTGTGTTCAACTGCCCATCTGCCCAGGTCCTCACAGACAATGAGCCTATGAATATTAACACCTCAAGAAGTGTGGCAAACAGTAACCAGAACCTGGGCCTTCTCTGGTGTGGCACTTTCCCTGTGTAATGTGCTGCCACAGGAGTTACACCAGGCATCCTCCTTTGTGCCTTTAACAAACAATTAAAAACAGAGCTTTTCAAGGAAGCTTTGAGGACATTCTCCTCAACTGGTTGAATATGTGAAGGAGGAGGGAGGGTGAACAGTTTCTTGACACCCTTTTTTAAAATCTTTGTATTGTGTTCTTCTGATATATATATTACTTTTTGTACACTGCCCAGAGTACCAGTTTGCTAGATGGGTGGTATAAAAATTGAATAAATAAACAATTAAATAAATAAATATCTGAGACATTACATAAGGGGCAGAGAGATAAATGCAGCTGGTAGTCCCAAACAGAATAGGCCCAGTGAAGCAACGGAATTACATTCATATTGCCTTGTCAAGTTCTGCAAAACTTGTATCCAAGAGAAGACTGCGTATCAGAGAAGACTGTTCATGTGGATTTCAATCTCTCTCTTTCTCTCTCTCTCTGCATTCAACACCACAGAAATTACCAAAAAATATATAGAATGGACCTATCATTAAAAATATGTAAAATGACATTAGTTAATTTGAACATCCCTAGGCAGCCGTTTGCACAAGCTGTGACTTAGCATTTAGAGGGACATGTAAAGGAGGGGGGGGGAACAGAATTCTTTTCTAATTATAGTTCAACTGGTAGTCCAGATTAGAGAAGACTATCGAATCAATTGGAGTTACATTAGTGCTGATTTACAAAGATCCCATTGATTCTTTTGTTTGACTAGTTATAGTTAGCTCAGAATTTCAGAAGGTACAGCTTACTGTCTAGGACTGAGTATAATGTCACCTCTGCAAATCCACATCCTGTGGGAGCTTTTGCCTTTGCCCCTGATCACCCAGGGTTGAAATTCATCTGTCGGTTAGGTGGGGTTTCCTTTTGCAGCAGTTCTAAGAGCGACTGAAAACTGTCTCATGCCTCAGATCTCAATGGAAAACATCACTGGTTATTCTCAATATCTTTTTCAGCTTCTCTCTTTCATAGGAGTTGAGTTCTATCACCAGCAATCCAGTACTGGCTTTCAGTACTGATCATCTGTCTGCATGATGCCTCTTGATCTCTTGACAAGAAGTAATATGTTTATTGCTCTATCTATTCCTTGGATTCCACTCTTAGTAGAAGATTTATGAAGAAAGGAATTGTGGGAAAATGCCTATAATATCCTAACTATTTTTGGTACAATTTTACATGTGGGTCATTCATAATGTGTGGGGACCTCCACAGCTTTTGTTTTCCCTCTAGCTCTGGCATAGCCCTCCAGAAAGCACAGGAGCTAGGTAGTGGCCGTAGGTTCATTCTGAGCTGCAGAACAAATGTATAAGTCACCATGAGGCAATGAATGGTCTGTTTATTCCAGGATTCATCATGTTAGCAGAACGGTCACATTTATTTCACAAAAGAAAACTGAACCTCATAACACACACTGGTGATTTGTCTGACTTAAAATTCTAAAGGGTCTCTCACAGCCATGAAAATGCTTTTCACAGGAAAGCTATTCTACCATGACAATATTTCCACAGATTGCCGTTGATGCAGTTTTGGCTATGTTCACTGTAATCAATAGGACTTTAATTAGCCACGACTAGTTGATATATAATTGGGCTTGCTGTCACCAACTTTGGATCCAATCCATTGCCTAAACTACCTTAATTTTTATTTTTTAATTAAACACACTCCTTTGGAAGTTGTTCAGCTTAGTGAATAGTGTTATGATAGATTTGAAAGCATTTTCCTTTGGCAGTGGATTGTGACACTCAGCAACATTTGCAGTGGTGAGAGAACTGATGGATGAGTTATATACTTGTAATCTTTACAGTAAGGGATAAGAAACTATAGGAGAAAAAGAGTTTTTTCTTGAAAATTCTGCATATGTTTATATATGGTGTGTATTGCATTGTATAGTTTTACAGACAAATTTACATCAAGTGCATACATCTTTTTAAACACTGATTTGAAAAGGCTGACAATTTTTTTCTGTACAGAAATGGGACTTGATTTTCATTTGTTTTAAAAGCATAGACAATTTTTAAGACGGGTACTCATATTCTTCAGCACTGCGACGTCCGAAATCCATCCAGCCCATGTAGTCTCTATCCCTTATCCTGTGAGTAGGGTCAAAATTCTGCAATCCCATCACAGAAACCTTTCCAGTAGAACCTGAAATATATATTTTTTTAAAAAAGTGAGATCAGGCTAATTCAAAAAGCAACAATGGCAACAACAACGAAAGTGCTGTGGCAACTTTAAGAGGAGCAAGTGTGTTTTAACATGAACTTTTGTGGATTGCAATCCCCATCATCAGACACAGGCATCTGAAGAAGTGGACTGTAATCCATGGAAGTTCAAAATGAAATAACAGTTGTTACTCTTGAAACTACTATACCACAAGATTTTGTTGTTGCTGCTGAAGCAAACTAATATAGTTACCTTTCTGAAAGATGGCAACAAATGATCTTGTAACACTTTTTATTAGGGGATGAGGAAGCTGTGGCTCTCCAGATGTTATTGTTCTACCACTCCCACTGGTCCCAGCCAACATGGCTAATGGTCAGGATATTATGGGAGTTATCCAATATCTTAGGAGCTCCTGTTTCCCAACCTATTTTAAATGCTGATATGTGTTGTTGTGTGCCATGGACATTTGCAGGTAAGTTCCTACTGGCTGATCTTTTGGGTGATCTGTAGTACATTGTCAAGGATATTTGTCACACAATTGTTTAATGCAAGTAACTACAGAATAACTCCATTCTCCATCCTAAAGTATATTGGTAAAGTAAATGAAGCTTGAGCTAACCAGGAGTATATTCCATTTTGTTTTAGTACTCAAAACATATCCCACGGCATGAAATTCCAAGTTCTAAGCACTAGTTGGTAGACTTTAGCATTCTGGTAAACAGCAAAGTTCATCCTGCAGACCTGAAACTTGTTCACCTCTACAGAACCAAGTAGATATATTAAATGTATATACACAGGAATGATTCTGCGGCAGGTATTTTTTTTTCCTAAGATGCCATTAGGAGATACTACTGACTGGGTATTGTTACACTTTCTAAAACCAAAAATACCATAAAAGGGAAGAACAAGAGGTAGATTGTGATCTAGGAAGCATCTAAATCTCTGGGTGATTTGTGGTGGATCAGAAGGTTTTTTCCTGAGTCTTAGTTGTTGAAAAAATGGTCAACAACTCAAAAGCTCACCCTGTGCTGAATTTGGTTGGAAACAGTAACTGGGGATGGTGAGCCAGGAGTGGACATTGTTGGGAAAAGACACATTTCTGTTTATTTGCAAAGTTAATGGGCTGAACAGATGCTCAGATGCATCTGTTGCTCATTTCTTAGATTCATTTCTTGGAGTTTATCCACTGCTTTGGAGTGGTGCCACTCTTTTGCATGTGGCTGCAGTTGATGGATTTCTGGATACCAATAAAGTAACCAAAGTGCATCTTCAATGCCTGCGATCTCTTTCCACATCTTCTCCACATAAGAATGGTTTAATTTAAATCCATAGGATTTGGTGACTAGAGTTCCTCTGTTGCCCATGTTGGCTTGGAGTTGTTGCTCAAAAAAGTAATTTTTCCAAAAACCAGGTCACCTTGTTCTCTGAATAACATTGTATATGAGATACTAGTGTCTGTTATGATATAGGTGACACGTGTCTCTAGACAAGACACAAAAAATCAGGTGTATTATTTTAAGGTGCTTCAGTGATAGTGTGTCCTAATAAAGCACTATAATACTAGGAATCACTGCCAATGTTGTAAAAGCTTCGCCATTGCACTCAAGGGCTGGCAGTTTTTAAAATGAAAGACACCTCTGTTCTCCCATGAAACTTAGTGCTGTTGCTTAGCATAATGCTTCTCAGAGCAGTACTTGCAACAATCCAAGAGAAATGTTTTCCTATCTCTTTGCTTATGTGTGTTCATCCAAAACTGCTTTGGGAAGGAGCAAGTCACAAAGGAGAACTAGAGAGAGCATTTAACTTTCACATTCCTCTCAATTTCTTCTTCAAAATTGCCTTCCATCAGCATCTTTAGATTAGAACCTTATAAGAAAAGCCTGAGAACTTCCTCCTTGCACCCTAAAAATTGAACCACTTTGGAAGAGTAAACAACACTGCCTCAGCTTTTATATTAAGTCTTTTTCAGCCACAGAAGCTTTAAAAGGAAGGGGCTTTGACTTTTGTGCCAGAAGAGGAGAACTCTTTGTATCCTGGCATTTTATGTCAAAGATTACAAAATTGGCCACCAACAAAAGGTACACCCTAAAGATAGAAAGGTAGATATGATATGGGTGAGGAAATGACCGCTCAGATAACAAATATCCTGCAGAAATCTATTACCGCTCAAGTCTTTCATTCTTCACCCACCCTGACTCTCATAGTTTCTCATTTGCTGTTGTGGCTATAATATTGAAGTGGAGAATGCAGAAGTACATTTCTAAAGGTGCCTATTTGGAAGCAGTTCTACTGCAGTTAATTGAATTTATTTCTGGAGAAAGGTATTCTGAACTGAGCTTTAAGATTGAAGATAATCTGCAAGCAGAGCTTGAGTTACTCTTTTGGACAATTCCTAGACCGGTATCTTGTTTGATACCTATGGGCATGGAATCCCAACCACAGAAGCTGCTGTGGTAATTGACAAGGTGCTGCCCATGTGTCTGGCCAAAATGCAACTGCCACCTCAACAGACTGCCCCAGGAGCTTCTGCAGTAAGAGTTCTGCATATATGTCGCACATCTACAGGACGCTAGCCTTAGAATTCCTTAGCCAGCATGGCCAGTGATTGAGAATTTTTGGAATTGTGGTTCAAAATAAGTTACATTTCCACACTCTTCCTCCTCCCATTATTTCTCCACCAAATAACATAATTCTCCCAAGTCAGTTTCTAATACAAAGAGAGAGTTCTTGCTTTACAAAGATGCATTCTAGCATTTTGCTACAAACATCCAGTTTGTTCAAGTACACTTTTCTCCAGATCTCCTACCTGAGTGGCTTTAACTAGAAGCCTAACTAATGAAATTAAAGACCACATTTGTGCAAATGTGTTCAGCTATCTCATTGTTAAGGCAAAGCCTACTGAATGATTATGTGAGGTAGGATAAATCGTGGTCACAATACTCCCTGTAGCTGTATCTTGCAAGGACAGTAAAAAAAAAGACTGTGCAATGATCCACATCAATATACCAATACTGGTATATTTCAGCTCCACTAGGAGCAGGCTGTCTGCAAATCTAGCAAGACGCAACTCTAATGGCATTACATAATGTATATTGTTTGCAGACAGACTTTTTGATCTGAAAGATAGTCATGCTATACATCCATGACATATGGTTCTGTTTCATATATTTTATGGATGCTGATCTATTGCCACGACCTAAATACTACTGTGTTTCCCCAAAAATAAGAAAGGGTCTTATATTAATTTTTGCTTCAAAAAAAAGAGTAGGGCTTATTTTCAGGGGATGTTTTATTTTTTCCATGTACGGCTATCTACATTTACTCAAATACAGTCGTGCCATCTTCTGGTTGCTGCACAATGGTGGAGGGCAGGGTTTCACTTAACTAGGGCTTATTTTTGGGGTAGGGCTTATATTATGAGCATCCTGAAAAATCATACTAGGGTTTATTTTCAGGTTAGGTCTTATTTTGGGGGAAGCAGGGTAAGAGAACAACAGTCAACAGGGAGTATTTGAAGGGAATCTGTAAATTCTCCTTCCTAGGGCCATTTGAAAGGAGACTGGCCAAGTAGGATGACTTTAAGTAAAGAAAATTCCACTGTCATCCTGATTTTTCAGGCAATAAGTTTAGATGAACAATGACATGCCTTTTAAATCCTAAGGGAGGTGGCCACACCAAAGAGGATGGCAGGACTCCTGGGAAGGTTACTGTTTTGGGCTGTCATAGAATCTCCCACCCTACAAAGGCTTTGGCCATGCTGACTGTGAGTTCTAGGAACTGTAGCACAAAAAAGTAATCTTTCCAAGCTGTCCTTAAAAGAGGATTTCGGTGATTCCCTAAAGGAAAAGTGGGTAGACTAAGGTGTTTTTTTAAAAAAATACAAAACATACCTCTTCGTGCTTGCTGGAGGTATTTGGTTAACAGAGCTCCAAGGTTGGCTTTTTGGTCCACACTGCCATCCACTCGCTGGATAGATTTCCCTGAGGCTGACGTACGGACGTGCCGGTGATCTTCTAACAAGCTCTGCTCCAGATCAGTGGCCCCTGCATTGACACTGTGGGATCCTGAGGTCTGCTGTCCCAAGCCGCTTGTGGACAGCACAGCCAGGAACAGACACAGGCAGATCCTGCTGTACATTGCTGGAGGAGAAAAGGAAGGAGAGCCGGTGAGAATCCTCAGGGGGCTGCTGTGCCACTTTTGACAACAGGCACAGCTGCGTCCAAACAAGGAAACGTGTTCTGAGAGAAAGAGAGGCAGTGGAGGATTTACAGGAAGTTTTAAGAAGCACCACATACAGATTAATGGCTGGGGCTGATGAGAGCACAAGCAAAGAAAGCAGCTGTTTAGCCATCTCAGGACCTGCTAGAAGCTGCTCAATGCCTTCTTTTGCCTGAATTTCTAACACAGCAGAATCCATTATTTAGGCAAGGCAAAGGAGAAATTTTGCCCTCTTTTTAGAAGTATGACATGACTTTCTTTGAAAAGATGATGGAAGGTTTGTCTTTGCATATTTATGGATACTCTTTGTCACTGCTCAGCATTTCCACATCCTAGGAAAATCAATGACTTTGACTTACCTCTGAGATAATTTGTATGTGGATCAGAACATTATGTAACATGCCCCAGATTAGTTCAAGATTCACACTGAAAAGACAGATTAGGCTCACCCAATTGACTAGACTGAAAAATGTCACTTAAAACCACCAAGATGACTGAGAGTCATAAAAGGTTCAGGTCTTCATGAAACTAATTTTAAGGAAGTGCACCACCCTAGCTACCCTTAGGTAATTTCATCTATATGTCTGTGAATAATGCAGTTAATGTTTAAATTGCTTGTGTGAAAATGTTTTGTATCAGGGAGATAACCTCTGAATATTTTTCTGCACAAGAGAGAGGGAAAGAATGTGAGAGAAGTAGAGGATGTAAAATGAATATTTGCTTTTATTCAGATCCTACAATTTGATATATTTGTTATTTAACCATACTTCATATATTTATTTTATTATACTATTCACATACATGGGAGAAATCAAAGCATCAACCATGCTAAACTATGATAAATCTTGTACATTTTAGTGGGAGAGATTGTCATGTGTTTAGATCACAGGAGGATTTAAACATGTGGAAATCTGACTGGATCATGTCCAGTTATCTATTATTACAAAGCTACTGACATAGAGTATTGCAGCTCATAACTAATTTATTAGAAGCTTTGCAGCCAACCTTTCATCCTGCATCCAGTATCTTTGTACCAACCAACAAATTAGAAGCAGGAATTTAAAAAGGACTTGCTTAAAGACAGTAACTGCTGGTATTATAAAAGTAAAGACTAAAATTTAGAAGGTACAAGTTTTGTGAACATTCTTCCTCCATAACTGATTAAGATACACTCCTACATATGTAGACTGAGAATAAATCTCATCAAATGTAATGTAGCATAGTTGTAAATAGGCAAATAGAGGATTGTAATACCACTGCTAACAGGGCTGGAGACAAATAACTCCTTTCAATAGCTTTAGGATTAAGGTTTCAAAAGAATCCAGTCCCTAATTCTTCACACAAGTGTGCATATGACTTTTTGCCTTGGAATAAAGCAGAGACAAACAGCAAACAAGGTCTTTTCAAAATTGTAAAATACATTCTTGTTGTCCACAATGAGTGCTATTAATGATCATCAGCTTAATTAGCAAAAGACTAAGGTAAGCAGAAGGGGATGATTGAAACAAGATACTCAGCTGTCTTCCACCATTCTGAAGATATCAGCTAATTTTATTCTTCTGGTTTCTAACAGTAACTTAATACAGTATAAGAGAAATTCTCACTAGATAAAATAAGTGAAGAAGCCAGACACTGCTTTGTCTCCTATCCACCCAGCCCAAAAGTTAGTTTCTCTGTGAAATCCCACATCTTACCGTTGAAATGAGATACAGATTCCTGCTATTGTGCACCGGAGAGAAGAGGCAGCTTGGAGATGGTAGCTCAACCCTTCGATGCTGCCCCTTAAATAGCATGGTTCAGCACTTGGAAGTGTCTTATTTGTTTGCATAGGTCTGACGCAACTGTGGGAGCACCACATGCTTCACTGCATGGATGGAACAGTCACTGGTCTGCAGGTGGGGGGGGGAGGAGGAGGAAATGTTCCTAGAGGAAATGCAGAAATGGGTGTTTGATCTTGTTTGTAGTAAGGCTTTACATGTCTGACGCTTAACATCTGGCTAATAAGAGACTTGAGGACTGGCAATTTTGAGAAGTGAGAGCACTGTGATTCTTGGGCACAGATGTAGAGTGATATGGCATGTTTCTAATTTTTGTGTTTCTATTTCCACTGTGTCCCCCTTTCACCCAAGCATGTGTATAAATGTGTATTTTCTCAGATACTACCTGATGCAACTGATGATGCTGACTGCAGTCCCAGGAAACCTTGTTTTAATTTAAGCTGTTGCAAAACTCTTGGTTGGTTTAGCTGCAATAAATTATCATAGTTGCATTCCTGAAAAGTGGATGCAGAAGCCACCATTCTGATCCTCACTTCCAAATGTCATCCTTCTCTGTTTTGCAGGAACTCACAGTCCAGGCAGGTAAAAGGTTGTTCCCAATTCTTTTTTTTTAAATTTTATTTATAACTATAACATAAACATAAAATAAACAAACCAAAATACAATTTAACCGTGCTCCCCACCACCTCTTGTTGTAATCTTCTTCCTCCATCTGTATTCTTCTTCTTCTTCTTCTTCTTCTATTGTCCTCTTCTCCAGAACTGCATTGATTCTTGATTTGGAGCTTTCCCTTTTCCTCTTGTTAACACATATTCCAAAAATCTGCCCCATATTAAATAAAAATTATTCTTTTTCAACTCTCCTTTCTTAATCTTTAAATTACAAGTTAGTTTATCATTTATAGCTATATTCCATATTTCTTTATACCATTAATTGATTTGAAATTCAGATTTTGATTTCCATTGTCTAACTATTATCAGTCTAGCCGCTGTTAATAAATTGGTTATCAATTCTTTAGTCATATTATCATATTCCACATTCTCAAATATTGATAACATAGCAATATTGGAATTAAATTCCCCAATGTCATCCTAAAGACCTGCCCACCCAGGAGGAGGGCCCTGGGTAAATTCTTGATCCCCTGTCCCGCCTCACAGGGGCGAGGGACTGTCAAAAGCAATTTTGATGAAGGCTAGGTATTCTTACTACTAACAAAGTGCCACTGATTTCCATGGGAGCTAACTTAATTTGGATTCTTCCCTATGCAACTACCCAAGGAATAAGGAATTTGTCATTGCACCTGCTTGATGAAAAGTTTAACATTCCTCCTTGAAGAAAGTGTCAAGGCTAGCAGTTTATGTTTTCTTGTGCTGTGGCAGCTTAAATAATATATTTAAAGTATATCAGACTTAGTTGGAAGCAAGGGCCACAGAAATCAACAATAAACAAACAGAATATTGACCCTCAAAATGCATACAGTAATTTTCTAATTCTTCTCACCAACCAAAAATCTTTCTCTTTTTCCATCCATCCATCCATCCATCCATCCATCCATCCATCCATCCATCCATCCATAAAGAAAGAAAAAAAGAAAGAAGGAAGGAAAGAAAGAAGGAAGGAAAGAAAGAAAGAAAAAGTTTCTACTACAGAAAAGCATGAAAGTTGACAGTTATCAGTTTTCTTAGCCTGAGCTTCATAGCTGGGAACTCAGGTTGAATCCAGAAAAGCCCCTTCTCCACTCAGGGGCTGAGATGGTAAAAAGCAGACAAGAGCAATCAATGTGATATTAAGATACAACTAAGGGAAAGGAATATTAAGAAAATAATGGGTTGGTTCCAGACAAATCAGGGGAGGTCAGTTAGAACCAAATTAAGCCCCATTGACCTAATTTGCTATAAGCCAGGTTCCTAGTGGCTAATATGCACTTAAATCCAAAATATCAAAGGGACTCAACTTGATTTCACTGGGTCTGCTTTAAACAAGTCTGGAACCAAAGTCGTAATGAGACACTTGCTTCTTACATGTAGAGTTTGCAACATTTATTTATTTGTTTGTATTTCCGGATCATCCCCCCCCCCACACGCCAGCCCGCCAGTGGGAACGAAGCTCGAGGTGGAGTCACCTTCATTGTGTCTAGAAGTAGCGTGTCTGTCTCTTGAGGCTCCTTTCGCGTGACTGCGTTGAAACAAATACGAGATTTCTCCAAAAGTCATGAAATGTGGCTGGGAAAACAGCAAGTAGATGTCAGTCCGTAGGGGCACAAGGGCGGCTTTCCCTATTAGCTCCCTGGCTCTTAGCACCTTAGCAACCTAGAAAACTCCATTATACTAAGTCAAAGCAGATCTAAGATAGCGTCTTTCAAATGTTTTGGACTACAAGCCGCATCACCCCGCTGGCTGAGGCTCATGGGAACGGTGCTCCCAACTATCTACAGATCAGAAAGCTGGAGAAGTCACTATCACTCTCCAAGGTTTCCCAGAGGATTCTCCTTCGAAGAGACCAGAGACATAGGTAACCCGGGGCCTTCGGCTTGCCAACCACACCCTCTGCCACTTAGTTCCCGCCCTTCGCTCGGTGCGGACAGTCCGTGCCCGGCAGGGACCGTCGGAGAAGCCCCCCACCCCAGTCAGGGGGCGTACGGGTTTGCGCAAACCAAGAGCCTTGGATTGCTCGTCCGTGGGAGGCGATCGCACCCAAGGCCGCGGCGAGCCACCTCCCGCTCCCGCCCCCGCCCCAATCTGGTGCAGGATCCCGCTCATTGATCAGCTCTGGCGCCGTCCTCCTGGGCTGGGCGAGCAGCGGATGAAGCCCATTGATCGGCGCGCCAATTGCCCGCCTGGCTGTCTCCCGAGCGCCGCCGCCCGAAGGAGAGGAGCGGCGTGACAGGCTGCGGGGGCGTCTGTGGAAGAGAGGGAGGGAGGACTTCGACGAGGCTTCGGGGCACCGTCCGATG